CAACGGTATTTAACAATCATATTACTTATTTCTCATTATATATATAATAACCTGATGTGTGAAAGAGGAAGCACAACATTCAGCGGACAATGTGTAGACAGCAGTTCATGCAATCTCGTGTGTCGAGTTCAAGGTTCCCTTCGAGGATCTTGTCATCTTCATCACTCCAAATTGACTTGTCTCTGTAACTTCATCTGTTCTTGACACTTTCATATATTATACATGTATGTTTTTTTTATACTCTTACCTTATCAATAACGTTTACACTCTTAATGAATACTCCCTCTATTCTTATTTATAGGGCAGAGAGAGAAGAATTTTTTTGATCCTATTTATAAGTGACGTTATTAAATTTTTATCATAATTTTTTTTACCCTCCATTGGATGTTAGAGAGAGAAAATTTATTATTAAAGTGTATAATAGGGGTAAAGTTGAGAACTCATTAAATTTTAAGACAGAATTAATAAGTTTTAAAGTTTTCTTTAATGCAGGTGAAACATGTTAGAAGTAACTTATAAATAGGACTAAAGAAATAATTGTATTTTTTTTAAAACTTAACACATTATTTGTTAGCCACTCATAAGGTCCATAAAACCAAAAACCATTTTTTGTCTTTTAATAATAAACACATCTATTCAAATTATTCATACAGAAAGCTACTTATTTATGAAATGAGAAATATAAATTATACGATCCATATATAATTTGTGTGTGTGTGTGTGTGTGTGTGTGTGTGTGTGTGTGTGTGTGTGTGTGTGTGTGTGTGTGTGTGTGTGTGTGTGTGTGTGTGTGTGTGTGTGTGTGTGTGTGTGTGTGTGTGTGTGTGTGTGTGTGTGTGTTGAGCATGGCTTCTTCTTCTTATTTTGCATGAAGTGGCATCAAATAAGCCCAATCTATAAAGATTGATTTAGTTGGTAAAGATTTATCTTATAACATATAGGGTTATGAATTCAAATTTCAACTATTAATGAGCAATCTGTAAGTATATATATTAGCAATCTTTGAACCAAAAGATATATCCTAGCTCTAATGAATATTTGGGACCCAACTTACTTAAACCTTTTTCTAAGAAAAACAATAATTAACTATACACTTTTGAAGTGAGGTGTAAATAGTTTCCTATATATACCACTCGTAAACTTGTTGTATGTGTGTCAAAAGTATGTGTGTTAAAGTCCCACATTGACTAAAAGAAGGAATCTCCTAGTGTATATATACTAAGGAATGAAGTGGGCTAGTAAAATGGGCTTGGGAGAGAAGTGGCCTCGCGCACATGAGACAGGCCAACTCAGGGCAATCGCAGTTGAAATCAGCCGATTCGCCCCCCCTGCGCGCGAGTTCAAGAGGCACTAGGTTCCTTTTACTGGGTTATTTTTCCAAAAATGGTTAAAGCTGTTTTCAATTTGAACTTAAGGCGTTGGCAGTTTTCTGAAAACTGAATTCTGTACGTTAATGTTTTGTTTGCCAAACATCTCCAGATTGAACGCTGAACGTTTTCGGATTAATGGTCGTGCACGTTTCTGCTGTTTAAGGCATGTAACTGAAGCATTAATCCACGAACGTTTGTTGTTTAATGTGTGTATAACCGAAGCATTAATCGGTAATTATAACCCAACGTTTGTGTCTCATTCCTCGGCCTATAAATAGACATGGGTGCGGACAGAACAGACAGCCAGCATTCTCATCCTCTCCTCCCTCTGATCTTCTGTTCGTCTGTTCTCATTTTTAGTCTCCGCTATTCTGTTCCCTTACTCCGCCACAGGAAGTGTTCGTTTAATCCTGGGGGACTATCGGTCCACCATCCAGGTGTACCGGAATAGTTCTTAAGGACAGTGTCCTTCCGGACACGACTCGAGCAATTAGTAGCTCGCTGTTCGCCTCTGCATCTGCTGTCTTCAACAAAACTTTCATTATATCATGCACTAACTTTTTTTATTAAAAAGAAAGAAAAAAAACGGAAACAAAATAAGATCAATATATTTTAATAAAAAATTGTTGATTAAGGGAAATGGAATTTTCTCAATAAAATGGAGGGAGGCGCGCGCGCGCGCGCGCACGTATGAACGGGACTTTTCTTGGTTGTTAAAGTCATGTGGATCCCACGTTGCATTAATTCTGACCACCCACGAGCCAGTATGATTGACATAAAATCAAGTAGATAAGCGTAATTAATAATGGATACGTATGTGATTGAAACTTCCCAACAAAAGAAAGCATAATTATCAATTATTAAGATATTATTATTTCTAAAAAAGAAAACGTGAACATGAAAAAAAGTGTGTTGAAACATTCCACCCACGAGTAGGAAGAGTCGTGATTGAATTATTAGACAACTTATAACTATATAAGTGGTACCACAAAACCTGGGAAACATACACCTCGCATTTATTTTCCTGTGAATTGGTATAGTCTCTCGCCCCATACAGTATTAATTGTTGAGGGACCCCATGAGTCATGGTCATATGTATGTATATAGTACTAATCAACTTTCCTCGTCATGATAACAATATAATTAATCACAGTTTATAAGTACTTTTATTATTATTATTATTATTATTATTATTTGTAAAAACAGTTTATAAGTCTTGTTCACATAACAAGTCACATATGAACACAAACTTCATCTTTAAGTAAATTGTTATGTTACTTACCCTCCATTTGAATTGAGAAGAAAATAAGGAGAGAGAAAATAACTAGAAGAGAACCACATTTTCTTCTAGCATAAAGTTTTTCTTTTAGTTTTTCCCTCTCTCTATAGGGAAATTAAGGAAAAGCAAGGGCAGAAAATGTCTTCTTCTTTTTTCTTTTATTTTTTAAATTTATTTTTCTTGGATATAAATCTCATGAGTAATACAAATTTATTCATTCAATGAGTATTGACATGACATGATAACAACTACATTCGATTTAATTGAGCACTTGTAAAAGATTTTACTATAAAATATATACCAAATCTCAAAATTTTTGAGGGAACAACATATGTGATAAGTATTCTTATGAGCACTGGTTTGAATTTTTTTTAAAAAATATATCTTGATAATTTTTAAATTTTAATAAAATTTAATAACTATAATTAAAATATTCATTAAGTGAATGAATTAGATCACTCACCGAATCCAAATGTTAAAACTTGTTTGGTTTATGTATTTTAAAAAAAAATTTGCTTTTGAAAACCGTTTGGATGAGTGTTTTTAATTTAATTATTTCTAGAAGAAGCAATGATAATAAAATTCTTTTAAATTATATAAATAATAATTTAATTCTCAAAATGTTATTCAATGAAGTCTCTAGGGACTTATTTATTAATAAATTTTAAAATAAAAAGATCATTTTATCCTTAAAAAATCGTAATTTTTGTTCTATAAATCATAAAAGTCAAACAAAAAATCACAACTTATTAACTGTAATTTTTGTTATTGAAAAACAATCTCCAATCACAACTTTTACTTAAGAAATAATAACTTTTATTCTATAAATTGTAAGAGTTGAATAAGAAATCATAATTTATTAAGTGTAATTTTTATTATTCAAAAGCAAGATCTAAAAATAATAAACTCCATTCGCAACTCTTGTTTAAAAAACCACAACTTTTATTCAAAGGATCACAATAATTGAATAAAAAATCACAACTTATCAATAAAGGTAAAATAATATTTTTAATTTAAAATTTATTAACAAAGAAGTCCCTAAGAACTTTAATGAAATTATGATATTTCAAAAGATTAAATTATCATTTACTATATAATTTGAAAGGATTTTATTATCATTTTTCCTTTCTAGAATTATTCTCATTTTTTATTTTTAAAATAAAAAAATAGAAAAATATTAAAACTATTTTTATTTTATTTTTTGTTTGAAAAAAATATTATATCTGATTATTGAAAATTACAGTTACCTTTTCTAATAATTATTATAAGTTACCGACACTATCAAATCATTTTTAAAATTTTTAAATTGGTTTTAAATTAAGACAACCAAACAGATCATATTTTTGTTTTGTTTTGAAATAATAATTTTAAAAATAGTATTGTAAAATAATTTTTAAAAACAAAAAATATAACATAAACCAAACTGGTCCTAATTTTCTATCCTTCCTATTTTAATTTAATCAACCTTCAAACCTCTTTTAATTTGGATTCTATATCCCATTGGGGCCGGTCTCTTGCACAGTTGAATGTTGTAAAGCAAGCTAAAATTTAATTTAAATTATTTTTTCCAATAGAGTATTTACTTGAAAGGGATAGAATTTATTGAACGGTGGAGGTAATAAATTTGTGTACTTGTGCATGACATATGCAAGACTTGCTATATACTATGTACTCTGGGTTGCAAAATAGTTCAGCATCAATTTTGATCCAGTTAGAAAGGACATTAGGTTTTTCTAGTAAGGTAATGTTAATCCAATTAATTAAATATGCAACTTTAATGTAGTCGGCAAAAGTTTGAAATTGCAATAGTGAACGACAAGTCGTACTCTGGTTAGTTGGGGAATGGTAGGTTTCTGTATAAATATCTCATGAATGAAATGCATATTCCAGGAAAAACACAGGTGTTTAATTAGAACAATCCTTCATTGATTATAATTAAGCTTGCAATTGAACTACCAATAAATTAAATGAGCATATATATCTTTCCGTAAGACACTTTATTTTAATTGCTCAAATATTTTCTTATTGAATGCAATTATATTTAAAATATGATCAAATATTAAATGTAAACACATCTTCTCATGGAGATTTGAATCTTGATTCGTTACTTTCATTTTTTTATTTATTTATTTTTTAAAGAAATAAAGAATTTCAAATTAATTAAATTTAAAGTTAAAAGGTAAAAATATTTTAAAATTTTTTTGAAAGGAGCATCGAATATCGTTACATTTTAAAAAAAGCAATGTTATTTTATAACTTTTAAAAGGAGAGTAATGTCGCCCTACCATTAACTTAAACTAATTTTTAACCGTTAAATCCCTTAATTTGACCAACAAATTGAGACGTGTCAACCTTCCTTAACACATTCTCGGTCCATCCTCCAATTCTCCGTCTTCATTGAGGCAGGGTACGATGAGGAGAAGCACTTCCTTATTGCAAGTTCGAATCTAGGTTCTCTAATTTCTCTTTTATTTTATTTTCTTTTCTTGTTCCACGCTTTCAGAAATCTCGAACATGGCTTCTATCTATAGTTGTTCGGAATGCGATTCCAACTTGAATCTCAACTCTGCTTATCTATTTCCGCCTGATTTCCATTTTGAGGCTAGAAACAAAGGCATAACCTCCTTCTTTGTGGTTGACGCTACCAAGTTCAGATTCAAGCAGGAGGACAAGATCAGATCCTTCTTTGAGACCATTAGTTACTGGGAAATCCGAAGGAAGAAAGCCATGATCAAGTGTAGTAGCTGTGGTTGTTTAGTCGGTTATGTCTACGATGATGGCCCTCCTCTTACTGATAGTCCTGGACAATTTCACATGGTTCCAAGCCAGGTGACTTCGAGATCCCCCATATGTCGTTTCAAGACCAAAGCCCTTCAAATCACGTCTCAAACAGGACTCTCGCATTGTTTTTCTTCCATACGGCTTCACCGTCTTCTTCTTCCTTCTCTCTGCTATTTTTATTTTCTTGCTAATCATAAATTGTTTATTTTAGTTTGTGGATTTCTTGGAAGTCATTTTCGGTTTCTATATTTTATTTTTGATTTGTTCTCAATGGGTTGCTCATCGACAGCTCTGATAATAGCAAGGGTCTGACTTGTTCTAGTTGATGAATTTGGTTGTTCTAAACACCATTAGATTCTCGCCCAATTCTGGCTTATCCTGTTCTAGTTGATTTGTACTCAATGGCTTTGCCTGACATTGGTTTTTCAAGAACAAAGAGGAAACAAATTAAAATAACTCCAGGGAGGAGGCCACGTGTCAATTTGTTGGGCATATAAAGGGGGTTTAATGGTCAAAAGTTAGTTTAAGTTAATAACGAGGTAACATTGCTTTCTTTTAAAAAATTTTGATACAACATTACTCTTTTTAAAATATAAGATACCCAGCGCTTTTTTTAAAAAAATTTCAAAGCATTTTTAACCCTTAACCTTTAAATCTATTATAATACTATTACTACAATAAATACCCTTTTTTTTAAGAAGGAATACTTTTCTTTGATATTCTAATTGAATTCGATCAACATCTATAATTAATTTTGCTTGGTTGATAGAAAATTTAAATACTTTATTTAAATAATATGATTTCTAATTATGCACTGTAAGAACTGTACATAAGTTTTTGTTTATGTAAATTGCTAACAGACTATAGTAACTAAATGTTTAATTTTTTCTTATTTTGGAAACTTGAGTAAATTATAGGGGTTAAACATTTAAATAATTAATCAAAAATTATAATGTTCGACAAAATATTTTTAATAGTATTAAAAATTAGATTAAAGTGTAGGTTTGGGGTTTAGGGTATTAAAATAAAAGGTCATCATAATTTATAGATAAAATTGAAATAAAGTTGATATATTTTATTTTACGGTATTAAATTAATTAATTTAACAATTTAATCAACTTTAAAATCAAATTGTGCTGCATAGCCAAATATTTCTATCTTTGTATATGCATAAGGGTACATGATTCCTCTATGTCAAATCCGGCACGACTTTATACCTGAGGTAGACAAATTAAAAAAAAAAAAAATTATATTCAAGGATCACTTAAAACACTTATTCACAAATAATAATCAATACAAAATAAATTATTATTAAAATAAAAAAATTTATTTTTTCTCAACCGAAACTCGTTATCAATTCTTGTCTGCAAAAAATTTATTGATGAGTGATCCTTTAATGTCATTTTCTTAGAAAAAAATGATGTTAGCGGACTGTACTCATAAAAAGGATACTGTTGAATTTAAAAAAAAAGGAGTAATTTAGAAATTATGGTGAAATATCAAGTCTAATAATTTTACTCTACATATGTCACTGTACCATATAAAATTAAAGTTCATTGGCGCCCTTCACAAATATTGTTATCCCTTGAATTGCATTGCATGCTTCTTTATTCTCTTTAAGTCCAGTATAATATGCTATTATTCTAATCTTATATAATTCCACCTCAACATATTTACTATTAGATGTATTATATTAAGTATACTTAAAAATAGTATATTTTACCAAAATAGCTTAAACCTTTTGATTATATATTTTTTAAACTTTATATATCATAATTCATTTTTTAATCTTTTAGATGTGAGATTTCTTTTTACAGTTTAATATTCTCTCTATTAATTTTTTTCTCTATGTTTTTTTTTCATTTTTTCACTTGGGCTTGTACTTTTTTTAATCTCATAGACTCCAAGTCTATTCAATTTCTTTTCCTTCTCTCTTTTCTTTTCTTTTTTTTTAAACTTCTTGTATTTTTTTCATCTTACATTTCTTTCATTTTTTTCCTTTTTTTGTCCCCTAATCGAATGGCTCATGATATCATATTAAATTTATTATATTAAGTATGCTTAAGGATAGTATATCCTACCAAAATAGTCTAAGTTTTTTGATTAGATATTTTTTAAGCTTTATATATCATGATTCATTTTTTAATCTTTTAGATGTGAGATTTCTTTTTACACTCTAATATTTACAAGGCAAAAAAGAATGATGTTTTTACCATATTTAAAAGACATGTATAACTTTTATCACAATCACAAGTTTTCCTTTTTATAAGAAGGGTATATTATTAAATCATATATACATATTTAATAGGAATAAAATTAAAAACTTATTAACTTATAGACAAAATTAATGAATTTTAAATTTTTTTCTTTTGAGAAAATATATAAATAGTAACTTATAAATAAAACTAGATAAAGTATTTTTGTTAATTTATATTATAAGGCACTCTTAACTATTATCGAAAATAAGAAGAGATGATTAAATTAACTTTGTCTAGAAATCAAATTAACATTCAATTTTATCCTTGTTTAAATAAAAAAATTTAAAACATACATTACATTATTATCTCTCATGAGTAATGAGCTTACAAAAGAATAATATTAAAAAAATATAATTAACATCCTATCAAGTGTCCATTAACTCATTAAAAAAATGCCTTCTACCAAGAGGAATAAAATTCTGCTAGGCCTGTGCAATCTGCGATCTTTTTTTTTTTTTTTTTTAAAAGAAAACTTACTGTGGACTATAACGGAAGCGAAAAGCGTCCACGCAGGATAGAACAATAACTACTGTTCGCAGCAGAAAATGGATGAGCTGTAATGACATTTGGCTTTCCTATTTTACCCTTTCGGCCCAATCATCGAACTCTTTTCCGCTCATTAACTGAGATCCCCACGTGGCAACCTCTCACGCGTTCTCCATGATCCAAAGTTTAGCAGTTACCCCACCTCCATTGCACCGGCAACAAACAACGCTCGAACACGAAAAATCGCAAGCCGCCCCTATCCTCTTCCTCCACGTGGCACTCATCCAACGGTCTTCTCTCTTGCACACGTTTCAGCCATCGACCCTCGCGCCACTTACCCCCTCTCTCCTCCGCCTCTGCGACCCTATCGGTTCGACCTTTGACGGATCCATTTCTCTATATAAAGGCCACATTCTACTTAGCCTTATAATAGGAGCCAGCTAGTTCTGTTATATATATATATTCCTTCCCGGAGAAGAGAAAGAAACCTTCGTTGACGTAACTGAGAAGATCGATCATAGAGGCTAACACTTCTGATTTTTGGAGCGTACCTGTTAAGAAGATGGTTTGCTTCTGCTTTCTGGTGGATCAGAGGAGGAAGGTGAGGAGGAGCAAGCCCGCTGCCGGGACGTGCTCACGGTGCGGCGGCGGAGCCAGCGTGGCCGACATGATGACTCAGACGAGGTTCTGTTATGTTCCGTTCTACTGGAAAAACTGGAAGGCCATTATCTGCACTTTCTGCGGAGCCATGCTTAAGTCTTACAGATGAGGGCGCGCGCGCGAGCGCGCACACATATTCTACATATTAACCAGAACACTAAAGTTTTCACTGCTCTTTGCTTTTCTTTCATCTGAATTATCTGAATAGATGACTCTGCGCTGACAATATAAACAGATAGTGATCATTGATGATCAGTTTGAGTTTTCAGAGTTGTGATGAGGTTTTGTAAATATGGAAGAAAAGTGTGCAAGTAGTTTTGCTGGCATGTGTGTGGTGTTCAATTTAGAGGGTATGAGACCCAAGAGGCCAAGACGAGCATTATGTACAGTAAAGTTTGGGCAAGGAGGATCAAATCAACTAATCATCAAAGCATGATATTCTGTGCCATTTAAGCCTCTTCCTCTTCTCTTCTTCTGAGCATAATCAATTTTTTTTTTGGTTGAAAATAGTTAATGACGAATTCTGTTTTTTTAATTATTAATTATTCCTTTCTTGCCTTCCATCTAGAAAAGAAAAATTAATCTGGAATATTTCTGCATAAATTCTCATGAGGTTTCGATGAGTTCGGGTTAACGCATTCTTCATTCAGGACTGAGCAGTTAGAGGAAATTTAAGATCCTGTACTCTACAATAATACTCTGAGGGTTTTTTTTGGGCCTGACTATAAATTAGAGTTAATCAATTAACGTTAAATGATTATACCATAGAATATTCAATAAAATAAAAATTGATAAATGTATAAAAAAGATTTACATCTCTTGAAGCTTTTTTGCCCAAATAAAACAATTTTAAATGAAAATATTAACTATGACATCAGAAAAAATAAGAATATATGTATAATGGATTGATTTTTTTTTTTCATTTCTTTTGTTTTGAAAATCTCATAAATAACAATTTAGTTTTTTATATATTCCTATGATATGATACCATCCCCAAAAAAAAAAAATCAAAATTCTACATATTTTTCCCTGTCAATTTCGTTCTTAATCATAGAACTAGTATAGTAATTATCGGTCCCCATGTCTTGAATGTACTACCCGTATAACGTAACTTCTCAATTAAGTTTTGCGCTTTTGTTTCATGTCATGGCCAAAGAAGATATTTAGTTGTTGAATCTAATTAACTTGTCAATTCATCGATGAAGTGCACTTAATTGTAGATTGAGTTTATAATTTTTGTATAATTTTCTTTTTAAGCAAAGATCTGTCTGTTTTCAAATATTTTATTCAGCAAGCGGACAAGTATTTCGGCGGGCGCGAGACAATATTATTCTTTTTTTTGGAATGCTACTTGGGAGACAATATTAATAATATAATGTCTTGTTAATTAATTTAAATCATTTGGCCTAAAAATAAGTTAAATTAAAATTATTTTTTTACAAAATTCTTACTTTTACTTTTTTTTATTTTGAAAAAAAACCTTTCAGATTACGATTTTAAAATGTAAACTCGCTCCATTTCAAATATATATATATATATATAAAGCATTTTTTTTTGAAATGTTTTTAATTAATATGCGATATTTTAGGAAATATCGATTATTAATTATTTGTTTCTAATGGAAAGCAAGAAATTTTAATATAGTTTTTCTATGAGAAATTGAGGTAAAAAGAAATTATTTGCCATTGTAATTACATAAAATACCTAAAATATTGAAACATGAAAACAGAGAGAGCACGCTACGCATGTACCTATAGAAGTTCAAGTTGCGACAATTGTCTCATTTTCTTCACTTTGGTTTAAACCATATAAAGTAAACTCAAGCATGTTTGGTGACTCAAACTAAGAGCAGAGTGTCACGGGAGTCATTATTCTTTTCTCAAAAGGCTAATATATTAGGATGTGTAGTGTATTCACTTATATAGTCAGGATCCTCCTCAAATCTCTCTGATATAGGACTTGACAATTTTCTCAGCCAATTCGTGACGCCCCTATCAAGGGTGGCCCATCAGAGGGGCTCACCGACTGGGCAAACTCAGTTCTGGCTCTGATATCATTTTATCATGGAGCCATTACTCTCTCCCCAAAAGCTAATCCATTAGGACGTATAGCACACCCGCTTATATAATCATGACCCTTTCCAAGTCCCTTCGATGTGGGACCTGACAAGAGGGTCAGTAAAGAAGGAAGAATTTATTTAACATTGAAGCATCACATTTGTAAAGAAGACATGACTTCTATAACCCCTATTTTATTACCACTTAATTATTTACCTACCATCATTATTTTTGTTTGTGTCACGTTGTTGATTAGAAACATTTCTGTCAGTTTAGGATACTATTATTTTGTATGTTTTGGATGGCCATACTATTATTTGATTACATATGATAAATATTATGCTTTTCTTCGTTATTGTATATCCCATCTAACATCATGGAGTCATATTCCATTCTAATTCTTCTTCTTTTTTTTTACAATTCAACTTTTTCTTAAAATGAATCTATGCACTAATATATATCTAGCTAGTTGCAGAAAGATTTAAGTTCCTTTTCATGGCATTCTTTTCAATCCAATGAAAATAGATGGGATTTTTTTTTTCCTACTATATCAATATAGAAGAAAAATATAACTAATTAAGAAAAATAGTGGACTAAAATAAGATTATGGATTCATAAAGAAGTAAGAATGATAGAGAGAAGGGAGAGACGTTGATACGAATAAGCCAACAAGGTCATCAATTCGCACATGTGTTCACATTTATATCACTCCATAGCTCTGTTTTTTCTGTATCATGGATACATTTATATCAATCGATGACATTATTTTAGTGGATTTTATTGTCCATGAACACATTTTATTCCAGTCCATTGCATTTTAACAATGAAAATGATGCAGTATAGACTTCCCAATCTAAAGCAATAAATATTAAAGAGACAATGGAAGCAGCAGGACTTACATGGCAAGGTATCGTAGGAGAGCATTGGAAAAGGTGGGGTGAGGGTTTAATGAATGAGAAGGACGAAGGAATAAGCAAAGATAGAAGAAGTTGGCGTGTTGCGTTGAATAATGAAGCTTGTGATAGGGATAGAGAAAGCCATGCTTCTAAGTTCCTATAAGCATTTATCTTTCATATTCAAATATCTTATACTATTGATTTAAATTCGGTGAATGTATTTAGTATAAACATTGAGTGCCTTTATCATCTGAGTTATATAAATTTAAATTAATAGTTTAAATAAATTTATTCATTTATTAATTTCAAGTAGATTATAAATTTAAAACCATTAATATATATTTTAATGGTTCAGGTGGTATAGACACTTAATATGTATATTAAATAGAGTTATCAAATCTAAATTTCTCGTACTACCATTTCATGTTGATGGCTAATGGCAACATCTATTAATTACGCTGCCCCCCACCCTTAGTAAAGGCTGGTCCCATTTATTTTATCCAGTCACTTCTGGGGAAAAAATAAGAAGAGAAATAAACTTGCCACTATATCCTTATTAAATTTATCATATTCAAAAACATTAAACATTTATAACTCCTGTATACAATCTCATCATACTTACAGAAAATTACAAAGAGGTAAAATTAAAAGAAAGTAATTAATAATTTATTTTTATGTAAAAGTGACTCATAAAATGGACCAACAATTTCTTTTATCTATTTAATGTGACCAGGTCCGAAGGGATATGATTGAAGGTTCGATCCCCAACTTTTATACTCCTTCCAATCCTATAAATTAAATAAGTCACATTTCAAAAGAAATTGATGGTATTTTTTATAAGTCACTTTACATAAAATGACGGGATTATTAATTACTTTCTTTCAATCTTAATTTTTAGCAATTTTCTGTTAGTAGTGTAAAAAGTTATTATGAGAGGAAAATTGTTTTTAAAAATTATGCATTTGATAAGGATTAACCGAGAAATTTCTTTTCAAGATAATGTCAATATTTTAGATATCTCTCCTTAATTTCAATAAGATAGTTATAAATGACTTATAATAAGAGAGCCATGAGTCATTTTCAATGTAATATTGTAGCTAGTAATACACTTCCTCTTATCTTTATTATAAGTTATCTTTTAGCCAAAAGAGATTGATGGTCTTTACATAGTACTCTCTTCGGTCATATTTATAAGATACCTTTTAGAAATAATTTTTGATCCAAAACATAGGGCACATTATAATAATTAAATTACTTTTGCAATTGTATCCCTTCTTGATTAATGTAAAGATACTTAATATAGTTGTATTATTATTTAAAGTTAAAGATAAAAATAAAAATACCTCTCACTTTTTATGATATCAAAGGAAAAAAATAAACTTTTCTTAATATATGTGAAATAGTTAAAAGTATCTCATAATAACAGGGAGTATATTGCATTTGGTGTGGGCATTAATTAAAATTTTTTAATATTACTTTTATTTAAACTCATTAATTATGAGAGAGAACATAATGCAAATTTCAAGAAAAAATTCATGTAAATATGGATAAAATTAAAAGATTTTTTTCAGATAAAATTAATAGCTTTACTATTTCACTTTGATTTTAGTGATATGATTAAAAGTGCCTTACTAGATGAGATGAAATATATAATAAGATTGCATTGAAATTTAGATGACCAAAAGCTCACCGCCTTTCCCCAAACACAAAAGCTGTTATAACTTGTAACCGAAAACGGAGTGAGATGATACGCGACATAGTCACATTACGCTATGACCACACCTTTTCGCTGAACGCGTCACCAAATTCAACACCAACCAATTTTTTATTAAAAAAACAAGCACAAACCCGAGGACTTGATCAAGTCCGCGCCTATTTTTAATTACTAATTATTCACATATTTAAACCAGTCATTCTTCACTCTCGTAAATATTTTCTCAAATCCACTTGAATCTTCAATATTCAGAGAAGTCACATTATTTTTATGCTTGGTCTGAAAAATGATGCGGGTGAGAGGGTTGTGGGGAGTTATTATGGTGCCCACGACGATGCTGAGATGTGCATTAGAGATTGCCCAATTCATGAGATTCACAGTTCTTCAGATGATCCGAGGCAGACACACCACCCCCACTAATTTGGTTCCTTCTTCTTCTTCTTCTTCTTCTCACCGATCTCCCTCCTCCATCATTAACTCGGCTCTTTAATTAATATATTTAGCTTGCCGGCGGCTTTTCCAGATTGCTCACGTGTCATAGGCGTGCCGGCCACAATTGAGACTTTTATTTATATAGGCATGACAGCTTCTTTCCAGTTTCCTCACATATGGCATCTTCACAGAATCAACCATACCTGCATCAAGATTGGATCCACAATCTATCTCTCATTTCACAATTAATCCTTCTTCTGTGGGCACGGCTGTAATTCTATTCTCGGTAGCTTTTGCAGTTCTTTTGTTTTTTTTTGGGCCAGGATTTTGCAGCTCTTAGTTTGAGAAA